AAATTAATTTCGATTTCATTTTATTTATAAGTTATTCTTGAAAAATAATTTTAAATTTTTATACATCCTAAAATTAATAATAATTTTTTTCTTTTTTTCTAGTTAAAGTGAAATCTTACGTACAGAAAATTCACTTCTAGAAATATCAGCTGATGTTGTTGTAATTGGTGAAATACGTGGACGGTTCGTTTTTTCTTTTAACTCATTTTCAATTTTATCATTATTAAAATAAGCAATGGCTAATTTATAGATTTAAAGATATCAACAGCAATAAATATTTATCTAAATTTAAAATTACAATCTTGTAGTATAATATGGAGTGTAATTGAAATTAAAATTAAAATTAAAATTAAATTGAAATCAAAAAATTAAATCGAAATCAAAAAAGTTTTTTATTTCAAAGTATAATTTTTTTTTTCTTGTTGATTAGATATTCTGATCTTTTACGATGGTTTCAATTATATGGTTATCCACCAAAACGTCGTTATCTTTTTCTTGGTGGTATTATTGATGAGGAATGTGCTGAATCTATTGAAACACTTGCATTTTTGGCAGCATATAAAGTATTACACTGAAAATTTTATGCAAAATATACTCTTAATTTATAAGTTTTATGCAAAATATACTCTTAATTTATAATTTGGGATTTTTTTTTTAGGTAATATGCAAATTAATTTTATATATTAATGTAAATGTGCAATTACACTTGCATTTTTGGCAGCATATAAAGTATTACTTTGAAAATTTTATGCAAAATATATTCGTAATTTACAAGAATTTGGGATTTTTTTTTTTGTGATAATATGCAAATTAATTTTATATATCAATGTAAATGAGCAATTTTTTTAATCAAATATTTATCTAATTGAGAAATATATAATAGATTATTATTGATTAATGTGTAAATAATCTTGTTTAATTATCAAAAAAAATTCTACTTTATCAATTTTAAAATTTATAGGTAACAACACCAAATCATATTTACATCATACGTGGTGCAACGGAATTTTTTCCATTTCAAATTAAAAAACGTTTTCCGATTAAGCTATGTTTAGTGTTATCAGCTCTTATCACACGAATTTGCTCTGAAATGCCAATTGCTGCAACAATTGCTAATACAATTTTTGCTGTACATTCCGGTATTAGTTCACAAGTTAGTATATGTAAATTTTTTTTTCGTAATTTTTTTTTTTTATCATTATTATCATTTATATGATTTTTTTGATGCATTTCTGCAAATGATAAGCATATTTAAAATATTAAAATTTATTCAAATTCTTCAAAATTTTAAATTCATTTAAAAAATATTCCAAATTCATTTGAAAAAAAAAAATTCCAATATCCATTTGAAGAATTATCATCGATTATTGATTAATGTAATTGATGAGTTGAAGAAATAAAAATTTTTAGTTAAAAAATCTTGAAACAATAAAGAAAATTGAAAGGCCACCAGTGAAATGGAATTGTAGAATTTTGCATGATTTAATATTAGGAATGCCAAGTACTGCTATTGAAAGATTTCAAAAAATCAAAGGTCAGTAAATTTGAAATGAAAAATTGAATTAAAATTATAACGATTGAATATACTTGAATAATATGCAAATCAAAAAAAAAAAAAGACAATAAGAATTATCATTTCCTTTCATAAATTTTTCTAGTTATTGTTAACAAAAATAAATCTTTTATATTTTCATGTAATACTAAAATATAATGATTCATGCTTATTCAAATATTATATTTTGTTACATTTTTAATCACTAATGATTGCATTAATTCAAACATATAAATTTTTATCAATGTAATTTAATGTTATTTATTATTAATCTGATAAATGATAAGGAGTGAATAAAAAAAAGAAAAATTAATGACAATGTTAAGATTAAATATTATTGTTAATTTATGGATTTTCAGTTAACTTTAATACAAATATAAATCTTATTGATCTTCTTTTTTAAAAAAAAAAAAAAAAACATCTAATAAATTATGATATATCTAAATCAAAATTAATATTGATAAAACTTATCGATATGAAAATTTGGTGATAAAATTTTATCTAAAATTTAAAATTTCAAAATTTCTTTCATATTA